CTGATTGTGTGCTGGATCTTCGTACAATGCTAAGACATTAAACTATATATTTTTCTACCGCTGCGAATATTCCAGGACGCAACAAATATATAAGGGTCCTGAAGAATGAATCCAACTGGGAATGCAAAGGGAAAATTGTTGCAAATCTATTTTCATGACTTATGTTTTGATGATTGACAAACACTATTGATTCTCTCGGACGGCATGTTGCTTCTAACTTTTCAGGAATCGAAGATCGGACGAAAAAATGAAGCCAGTTCAAGATTGCGTAGGTTTAGGGTTGAGCCAGTCTGTACTTTATTTTTTCTCTTCTTGAGTCTATTTGTAATAGCCAAAGAGACTGATGCTAAGTAACCCTACACACACACACTTGAGAGAATTAGAATTTTTATTTTTACTTATATTAGCCAGGATGATATTTACATCATCCTGGACGATCAGGCTTAAAACAGAAAGTCTAAATATGGATTCTTAATTAAGGCAGCCGACATTAACAGATCGGCCTGGACGATACGTGTATCGGTCAGGACGATAAGCTCAAAATAGAAAGAACTTGCCGCCATAGATAATTAAGGTATACTGTATTTTTAAATAATCGGCCAGGACGATCATTGATCGGCCTGGACGATATTCACAAATTCTGCCTTAATTGATCAGGAAATCAAGGGAGTAATTAAGGATGATTGATACAATCATATCGTCCTGGACGATCGCAGGATCGGCCAGGATGATCTATTCAAAAACCTTAGTTACTTCAGGACGATAAATATTGGCCAGCTCGAATTCAGGGCTATGCTCTGGATGATTTTCCTCTGATTTGAACTGATCGGCCAGGACGATCGTGAGATCGGCCTAGACGATCAAGCCAATTTTAAATCATCCAGTTTTGCATTCAGGGCTATGCTCTGGCCGATCTTCTGAGTTTTGTATTGATCGGCCAGGCCGATGTCCATATCGGCCTGGATGATAATATCGGCAACTTGCAATTAATGAGCTCCTTTGAAGCTCTTCTATTTAAGAGCTCTTGTTAACCATTTTGAACAATCTTTTTGCTGCTGCCTTGACCTGAGAAGGCCTTGAGGAGAGAAAGAGAGAGAGGGAGAGAGAGAGGATCTTGTGAGGGGGAGCTTATGAGGGGATTCACAAGGGTTGCTTCAAGGATTACTCTGCTTCTTCTTCGTCTAGAGTTTCTCATCCGTGGAAGGGTCGGTAGAGGTAAGGAGCCAGCATCTGGTTGTGGTTCTCTGCCAGCTTCAGGAGGAAGCAAAAGGAGATAGGTTCTCTGCCTTGCCGGGGTGGCAAAAAGGAGGTTCCTTGTGAGGGCTTCTCCGCCTAGCTGTGGGGGCTAAAGGAGAGTCACGTTTGTAGTGCAATACTTGGAGGGTGCCTCCAAGGAGTGGATGTAGGTCAAGTTGACCGAAACACTATAAATCTCTGTGTTATTTTTTTCTTTCTTCCGCACTTTAATTTCCGCATTGTTTATTTTTCTCGTGGTGTGATTTTGGTTTATGTGATTTTTGTTCTTTGCGAATTTTTGTTTTTAAATTCCAATTCACCCTCCCCTCTTGGTTAGCTTGTGACTAAGTTCATAGGGCTTAACATCCCTAATGAACTTTCAAAAATCCTAGATGAATAGCTATCCAAAAAAATATCAAGCTTGGTCACTATAAGGTAGTGGACAAATTATTGCGGCCATGAGTGTCTAAGTACAAATAGCGTTTCCTAAACAAAGTAAAGATCATACCATCTAAATTTATTAAGTAGGAAAGGAGGTAATAAATGATGCATCTTTCTCAAAATAGGGAATGAGATACGTGCAGCGGGAAGAAGAAGTGACCCCATGATGGGGAGAAAGATACTGAGGTAGTGATGCAACCAGGAGTAGAATCTCTGTTAAAAGTCAATAATCACTACAAAACTATATAGGTATCACCTACGCTGAATAATGGAAACCTATGAAAGACATATGCTACATCGACATAACTAAATGACCGCTTTTGCAGCTACAAGCGAGACTCCAATGGGAAAGAACTATGTTGTTAAGGAGAGAAAGAAGTAGTTTCCCAATGGAAATCAAAATCCATTGAGAACTGATGCTAATGCCCAAAACGAGGCATACCAAATTAGTGACGGGGAAGACAAAACTCTTGTTATAAAAGGAAAGTAGTCCATGGTCAGTTGGATTAAAAAGTTGTGTTTTAGAGAACTTAATTTTTTTTGGAAATAATTGATTTTCTATAATTTTAGTTTTAAAATTAAATGATATATCACCTCAAATGGTGAACATATCATTCTCTAATAGGTCAAAATTATAAAATTTTAAGTTCATCCTGATTATAATAGTCTAACTCAAGGAAAGTCAACATATAATCCCAAAGGATCAAAATGCTGTTTGATGAGTGTTTGACTATAATAATCTAGATAAGGGATCATTAATTTCATAGTCAAAGTCATGATAATAAAATGATATATCTTCCCAAGGAAAGAGAATATTGCCTATTATCAATCATTTGAATATGACAATAATAATCATCAAATTTGATTTTTTTCAAAGAGAATTAATTGAAGTTTTGAAAAGATTGATGTTGACCTCATTATTCGAGGTCAATTTCCCCAAAATCGACTCTAGCACCCAGGTCTTCGTAGCCTAGTGTAGACGTCGCCCATAGGATTTCCCTTAGGTGCACTACTAAAAAGTTGAATCTTTGGCATCGGTTTCTTGGAGCGGTTTTAAAACCGCCTCCAAAAATAACTTTTTGCACCGGTTTTAACCGGTGCTATTTGCACCTGTTTTAACCGGTGCAAATTGCACCGGTTTTAAATGCAAACAATTCCTAATTATTTACCCGTCCCGCACTAGTTTCCCTAATTCCCAGCGCGCGCAAAGCAAACTTCGCGAATCGTCCGATCCCGCTCATTCTTCTCCTTCCGCTCTTCTCCTCCCTGCGCGACTCAAACTCAAGAAGAGGATGGAGGAAAATTTTTTAATCTCCTTTCCCTTTACATCTAAATAGCCCCACTATTTGGTTTAGTTAACACTCGTAGGATTTCCTAGGGTTAATGGGGGAGTGGATGAAGGCTAAGTACTCGTTAAACTCAAAATCCCTATGCTAATAAATTTTATTAATGCTCAAAGAATTAAATGGATCC